CTAATATTTTATAGACCAAATGATCAAACAATGAATCAGGTAACTAATTCACAGATTAACTGAAAATGAAAACAGTCTTTAGTTGCAGCCTTAGATTGTGTAATGATGATGGCGGCCTGTAGAAACAGAACAGATGGAGGTAAAGGAGTGAACAGGTGAAGGTGGTTTTCATGTGCCATTTTTTGTCTAAGATGGAGGTGATCGTGTTATTTGCATACTGTGACAAAATAACAAAAAGCTGTAGGGGGATAAAATGCATCACTGCTCGGTCTCACAGACAAAAGTAGGCCTGCAAAACTTCCAGTGAGAGGATTAATCAATGTGCACCAAGTGAGCTCAGTTCCTTCACGCTATAAAGTTACATGCTGTGGATCAACTCCAGCTCGTTCACCTGTTAACCGATGCTCAACGTGGTGAAACCGCACTGATAACACACTGTGCACTGCAACAACGTTAGAGAGACAGTTAGCTACAGCAACTTCACACTGGCTAACACAGAAACAGTGAGCCAACGTAACTAGCAACATTAGCAAAAAAAAAAAACAACAACAAAGACCTCTATTGTGATCTGAGAGATTAGACAGCCAGCAGCAACTCACATTACCTTGAATTTTCCGAAAGCGAAGGTAACAAGAGGCAGAATCAGAGCTCTGGACAGAAAACCGAAGAGGCTAAAGTGAGCTGGCTAACTGGCTGTAAGCTACAACAGAAGCAGTAGCATCGGTGTGCACCGCTTTGTCTGTTGTCACTGACAATACATTACTGCTCTGTAGCGAAGCAGCTTGGTTTCTTTTTCCTCCTTTAAACGAAGCTAGACAACATTTCTGCTGCACGTCCCAGTCCACCCCCTCCTCCTCCGCGGTCCACACACTCCCCGACAGTTCACTCGCATTGAAGGGTTTGTGTTTAGAGCTGCCAGTGATGTGAGCTAACGCCGCTGGTCTCCTCTGTCGGTGTCATCCTCCCACATGCAGTCACATACAGCGAGGCGTTAAATGCGACGGAATACTGCCCGCGGATATCTATCCGGCTCTGACGTGAACGTGTTAGGGTTTCTAGTATTTTAACCTATCACCCTCAGACGGGTTTTTCCCCGGCAGACTCACAGGGTGGCGCTGTGCTTCACTTTCATGTCCGTGACCCTCGACGAGGTGAAGGGCTGCAGTTTACACGTCTCGACACAAGATGGCGCCGCTGCGTAGCCAAAGATTATAGAGAGTGTCAAGATATTACGCTGATAGTCAGAGTCACTTTCAACAGGTATGTGTACATATACAAGGAATTTGACTCCGGTTTTACGTTGCTGTCAATGTACGTACACACAATAGTGTAAATAAATAGCACAACAAGCTTACAGGAGTTATTATTTTCATAAAACTGTTATGTTTCCGCTAATATTTGATAGCATATGTATGATATGTAGATTCTCGCGGACTAAAACCCGAATTGGTTGAAAAACTTCAAAGGTAGGAGAGCCGACAATATCAGTTGCCTATTCACCATCTGGCCGAATACTCCCGTTTTGTAACTATGGCGAAAACCCATTGACAGCCTGAACCAGAATCTTGACAAACCCGGAAGTACAAAGGAGTGAATCCTCTTGCCTCACCTGGAAACTCATGACAACAACTATGGCTGCGTCCTGCTCGTTGGTGTGTTGTGGAGAGGAGAGAGATTCCGACAAAGCTGTTATTGGTGACTATCTCTCATTTGTTGGTCGTCGAAACTATTTAGAAGAATATTTTAATTGCAGTTGTGTCTGTAAATGTTGGCTCGTGCTTATTTTCTATATCTTAAACACCCATTTGTATTGCACACGTGGGTGCTAGCAACAGGGCTAGTTGTTTAGTTTAGTGGAGTTTGACAGTAAAACCTTATTCATACAGTTAGTTTCTGCTTGCGTTACTTCAACTTAATCTGCACTTGTCCTAAATGTATATACACACACCATGATGCAGGATTTGTACATGTTAAAAACTGTGTGTATTTTATACTACCTATTTGTTTAATATATGTGTATATATTTATATTATGTTTCTCCCTCTCACAGTCCGCTTTTCAAACGGCAGCGTCAAAAATGCAGACACACTGCATTTCACGACGTACAAGAACGCAGATGAGAATAACCCGAGGAAGAAGAGCAGACGGATGTTGGTGAGAAAGATGAAGAACTTCTGATATCCTCAGTACTTTGTATTTGCACATCTACAAGACTTGTTTATGTCTTCCTCCTTTAGGTTGCTGAATCAGACAGATTGTCCTATGTTGGAACTAATTTTGGAGCGGGGTCCTTGAAATGCAACAACCTTTGCCGGTAGGTTAATGTTGCTAATGTTATTTTGAGATATTGAGACTTTTGCAAAGTAATAACTGTGAATATAATTCATAAGTATGGTGTTTGGTGTTTGTTTAGATATTATGTAGGAGTGTTGAACAGGCAGACCATGCAAATGGAGGTGCACAATGCTCAGCTCTTCAACATGCAACCTGATATACCAGGTAAAAGAAAAGAAATCAGCATGTATTGATAATTGATTATGGCTGCTTATAAGGCGTCTACATAGCCCAAGTTACTGACAACTCTACTAAAAAAAGGAAATTGTTTGGTGCTTTTGTCAATGCAAATGCACTTTATGTATTTGTGTTTTTTTTTTTATCAGGAGAGACAACAGAGACTGCAAAACCCCAGGACACTACTCAGACATATAGAGATAAGGTACAATGTTTTGTTTAGTTTTTCTTGGGAATCCGAGAAGATTGGGCCTAAATAAGAAGGAATACATTTGCTATTAATGTCTTAATCTTCTGTTACAATTTCTCTTTAGGTTGACTCTTTGATTGAGGCATTTGGCACCAACAAACAGAAGAGAGCTCTGAGCTCCCGCAGGCTGAATCAGGTGGGCAGTGACACCCTGCATCAAGCAGTGGCTAAAGCTGCCAACACTGTGATTGACCAGAAGGGACTAGAAGGTAAGTTACACAGTCACATTGTCCAAGTGGGGTATATGGAAGTCAGTAGTGTGAAAATCATCTACTAGTCATCTGAGCGCTCATCTTAAAGATATCCTTAAAGGGTAACTTAGGTTTTTTCCACCTGGATCTTATTTTTCCTTGTTTTGTTTCCAGAGTGACTAATGGAGACAGCAAGTTTTGAATTGTATCCAGTGTCTTTTTGTTCCCTTTACTTGATTCACTGTGTGTGTAACTAGTCTTACTCAAGGCGAAGTCTTGTTCTGAGATCTCGAGAGAGGTGACTTGTTGCAGAAAGACGAAGGTGGAAACGTGAGCGTAGTAACGCCGGCCAGGGAGAGTGATGTGCAAGATTTTCACTGTCATGACAGAATATTTTGCTGATTTGGATGAGGCTTTTGAATTTGTTGCCCCCATTACTCACTTTGACACAAAAACTTAAGAAAAATTAGGCCCACATTGAAAAAGTTTAAGTATCTGGCAGATTGAGTTGTCATCTTTCTCTTCAGATGTAGTCTTTTTCTATTCTTGTTCAGTTTGTTTATTCATCATTTGTTCCATCTGTTTCTCTTCTCTCTCCTCTCAGCTCTACAACAGGAAGTGGCTGAGACAGAGTCCCAGGAAAATGTTGCTATCCACCTGCCTCCCTGCAATGCAGACGCTGACAGACCTGAGAATGTCTACCTATATGATGATCGTATCCTTCAATCTGTGTGTGTGTGTGTGTGTGTGTGTGAGTGTCAATAAGAGAATGAAACAACAGTAGAAATAATATTGTCCATCCTTAATCGATATCCACAGTTTTGAGTCCAGTCGAGTTAAATGCTTTGGAGCAGGCTGGTTCCAAGATGGCGGCGCTCACCACTGAGGAGCTGCAGAAGATGAGAGATGACGGAGGGTAGGGAGACAAATGACCCACACTTGCTGAGACATTTTATGAAGCTACATTTTTTTTCCCCCTTGCATTCTAATTTGTGTTTGTCCTTTTGTCTTTAAGGTGCTTGTGTGTTGTGAAGATCCTGGAGAACATGCCAACTGTTGATGAAACCAGAGATAAAATATCACGCAACGCCTTTTACCTTTCTCTGCTCCTCAAAATGGCCCGACAGAAAAGCATCACCCGCAAGTGTGAGTAATGTTTTCTTCTCATTGTAGATGTTTTCTTACACACGTCTCTGGGGCAC